TAATATAATGCAACATCAAGAAAATGGAAAGTCTATATTACCTTCAATAGAAACACACTTCAATGACAGATAGTGCGTTTATACAACATCATATACAACAACAACAACAACAGCAAATTATTATGTCAAATGCTCACGATCAAAATACGTATTTACAACAACAGCAAATTAACAAGGTAAATAACCACGAACAAAGTGCGTATATACAACAACTACAGCAGCAACAACAGCTAAAACAGCAACAACAGTTACAGCAGCAACAATAGCTGCAACAACAACAACAGATGCAACAACAACAACAGTTACAACAGCTACAACAAGAACAGATGCAACAACAACAACAGCTACAACAACAACAACAGCAAATTAATAAGCCAATAGTTCATGAACAAAGTATAAATACTGTCATTATCGACATGGAACTTGACAATCATACTCCATCGGCTTCGTGGCAATACGTCAGAAGAAATAAAGGAAGGCGAAACTCAACCTGAGGTAATTTAAACAATGAAATAGTATCATCGAACAGATTTAGCTTACTAGCTTCCAGCAATTTCAAACAACATCGAATGCACAGAACGAAGGCACTACAAAGGTCCAAAGGCCACCGCCCGTATTTGTGTATAACGTAGATAAATTTGCGGATATGATTAGTGACTTAAAAAAAATACTCAACACAAATGAATATATAACTAAATCAATGCCACATGACATAGTTAAGATTAAAATAGCAGCACTAGAACAGTATAGAAAACTCATTACTTTACTCAAACCAAAACAAGCTAGCTTTCACACATATCAGCTAAACGAAGAAAGGGCATTCAAGGTAGTGCTGAAAAACATACATCATACGTACGACACGGAAAAGATTAAACAAGAAATTGAGCAATAAAACCACAAGGTGAGAAATATTATTAATGTCAAGCAATACAAAACAAAGCGCCCGCCTAATGTTTTTTATTGAGCCGGCTAACAACAACAGCAAAATATACAATTTAACCAATTTACTAAATCATATAGTAGTGGTAGAGCCTTTAGGAAAAAGAAAAAAAAATATCCAGTCAAGATGTCAATTAATTGGACATTAACAGACCCTTCGTAAAAGATACGCCGGCTATCCGCGTGCATTTTGGTGACAACCATTCTGCAAATTACAGAGAATGTAGCAATGTACAGTTTTAAGACAGTAGACGGAATATTTCCAACGCCAATCCAGACACAAGCCGCATGACTAATTCGGTAGCACAACACTCACTACGAGCTAATATTTCGGAGTACCGAAGCTATTCTGAAACCCTCAGAGCACAGCAAAACAACGGATGCCATACGCAACAGTCAAACACATTATAAGAAATAGTAAACGGTTTTAAAGACATGTTCAAACAGCTGGTTGAACAAAATACAATGATAATAAATATGCTAACATTGCTAGTCAAAAAATAATGACTAACTCTTTCAGAATCGTTGAAAGGAATGCCAACTTTTCTCAAATTACGGATGATCGACATACTTCTCATTAGCGAAACTAACTTAACTGATCCATTGTCATTTAAAATACCACAATACAATTTTTATAAAACAAATCAGCCGGACAAAACCGCTCACGCAGGGGCAGGAATACTAATCAAATCCTCAATTGATCATTACGAGCTGTCAAAATATCAAGAAATCCACATCCAAGCAGTCTCAGTAGAAATAAAATGTTATGCGTACGACCTAGTAATTGCAGCAGTGTACTGTCCACCCCGCCATAATTTAAAGAAAACAGATTTCAAACAATTCTTCGAAACTCTAGGTCCTAGATTTATTGCTGGTGGCGAATATAACTCCAAAAACACATTGTGGGGCTCGAGGCTATTACATGAAGAAAAATACAATTTTCTGTCAGGAGATTCCCCTACATATTGGCCTACTGGCCAACACAAATTACCAGATTTGTTGGATTTCTTTATTATTAATGGCATATCATATATGAACATGGATATTGAAAATAGTCTGGACTTATCTTCTGATCATACTCCAATAATAGCAACATTTTGCACAAATGTAATCAAACGGAAAGTCAACTTCAATATATATAATCACAAAACCAGCTGGGATGATTGTAGAAATGAAATTGACAAAGAAATTAATCTCAAAATTGGATTAAAAACTAGCGAAGACCTGAACAGAGCTACTCAGGAATTCATACATATATTGCAACCGCGAATGCAACTTCATACGAAAGAGAAATAAATGTTCCCCTGGTAATTCGCCATTTGTATAGAGAAAAAAGAAATGCTAGAAAAAGCTTGCAGAGTAGTCACGCACCGGAGGATAAAAGAGTGTATAATAATCTCTCGAATATTTTGAAATCAAAACTACAAAAGTCAAGAGAAGATATTTTTATTGCATATATTACGACAATAAGTCAATATGACAATTCAATATGGACGCCAATTAAAACCGCCAGAAAATTTACAACATTTAACTTACCGATCTTAATTGACATTAAACAGGCATTTGATAAAGTGTAGCACAATGGTCTTTTGTTTAAAATAAAAAAATGCCTGCCGGGAATTTATTACACGTTAATAAAATCATATTTAACAAACAGATCCTTTAGAGTGAAAATAGGCAGCGCTGTAGAAAATTCTACGATATAAACGCAGGAGTGCCACAGGGGAGCGTAATGGGACCCCTGTTATTTACCATCTTCACACATGACATTCCAACTAATCCGAATACAATTCTCGAACATTTGCAGACGACACCATAATCATGGCAACCCACGAGGAGCCTATAACAGCATCGCTAAACCTACAAGAACACCTTTTCGAATTGGAACTCTGGTTCAAAAAATGGAAAATTGATATCAACGAAAATAAATCGAAACACGACATTTACTATAAAAAGTCAAAATTGTCCAGATGTATTTATAAACGGCCTCAAAACATGCCGTAAAAATTAAAAATTTGTTTATGGAACGCCAATGGCTTGTATCAACACATACAAGAACTTAAATATTTTCTATCACACAATTCAATCGATGTGCTACTAATATCTGAAACTCACTTAAAAGAAAAATATCATTTAAGAATACCTAACTTTACTATCTATAGCTCTGAACACCCAGATGGAACAGTAGATGGTGGATCGGCAATAATAATAAGATCTAATATTCGTCATTATGAGCCAGAACCAATCTGTGAAAATTATTTGCAAGCAACACGTGTTAGCATTAACTTAACTTTGTGCGCGGTCTTTGTTTCAGCTCTTTACTATCCTCCGAAGCATATTATTTCAAAAAATCAATTTTCGGACTTTTTCAGTAAATTGGGTAATATAAATATAAATTAGCAGGAGGTGATTACAATGCCAAACACACTTGAGATTAATTACACCACGTGGTCGTAAAATTTTTAAATCAATCGACTTCGCAAGTTTCCTACAGCGTGGAAAATTGCAAAAATTATACTAATACTAAAGCCTGGAAAAGACCAACACCAAGTACCATCATATCGACCTATCAGCTTATTGCCGATTATATCAAAAATTTTCTAAAAATTGCTTTTGAGTCGAATAAATGATAATATACTTTCAATGATATAATTATAAATTATCAATTTGGTTTTCGGGCAAAGCATTCAACCTTACAGCAAATTCATCTAGTTGATCATCAACGCTACTTTGCACTGCAAGGAGTACTGTTCTGCAGTATTTTTCGAGGTGTCTCAGGCGTTTGACAAACTCTGGCACAAAGGTCTTTTGTATAAAGTTAAAATGAATCTACCTTATTCAATTTACTCACTACTACAATCATATCTTTGCGAGCGAAAGTTTTATGTTGATATAAGTGGAACGCAACTTTAATTAAGAGAAGTGAACGCGGGAGTCCACAAGGAAGTGTTTTAAGCCCTATGTTATTTTTTCTTTACACTGCTAATTTTCTTCAATTCATCAATACTAATCTGGCTTTATTCGCGGATGATACATGTATTATAACCCGGAATTAAAATCCTCTTACGGTTTCAACGCAACTGCAGTCACACCGCGATACGTTAGCTGCGCAGAAACAAGCAGTCAAACGAATAAACACTGAAACGGAACCCGTAGAAATTTGTCCCAAACGCAATTTGTTCCTATTATTATTCATAAAATATCTGATAATTTGATGTGCAAAAGTCTAATGATAGTTTTTGTCCGCCAAATGACTTTTCTCTTACTTTTTTTATTGGATCGCCGAAACCGCTAGACCTGCCATTGTATTAGAAGTCCTGCTTAAGGCAAAATGGCACTTACGCCAAATGTGGTCTCTAACAATTCAGAATGAGTTGATGGCATAATATTATCCAGTCATATTTTCTAGATAAAACAAACTACTCCTTTGCAAAAGTAATAATAATTTAACTTCCTAATTCGAATAAGTTAATTAATTTTGAATCGATATTTGGCTCTAAAATGAAACTAAATAATGTCTTGAGTTATTATAAATATTTGAATATTGGAAATATTAGGTTAAAAGTAATTAGTATTAGAAAAAATAATATAGGATACAATAATGAAACATTGTACGTGACTAAAAGCTTGCAAAAAAATGGAATCCTAATTCGGAAACCCGGGTCCAGATTCGGTTCTACTATATACAGCTCTACTATATATATTATTTCATATTAATGATTGAAACAATGCCTGCGAAGTTGTATAAGTATTTAATTCCACAGTAATAATCAAAGTATACGCTTGGGATATATTTTAGGTTTTATTTTAGTCTGGACTCTTCAGAGAACAAATAAAAAAAGAGGGTATAGTTAACATCCCTCAAGCAACGCAAGTGTTGCAACATGAGACGTCGCTAACTTGACAGTCTGCGACAATCTTCACACGGAACTGTCCATGACGTTGGTACTAGTGTTCATGTAGTTTGTACAATTATGGCTAGATGTCAGGAGGACACCATATTATATAGGACAAAGAAAAGTTTATCATTTATAGTAACGGAATGTAAATAATAGTATTACCTTTCGTTATCAAAATATTTAATTATAGCCTCTCCACCTCCACATGGTATTATCAAACAGCAATGAGAATACATTAATAATTCATCCTCCGTTATTACATGCGAACTTATTAGAGGGCTCGCCTTTATACCGCATACCCACAATCTACGTAGTATCTGAAATGTAAAATTATTATTATAGCTCCTAACAAAAAAAAAAAACACACACACACACACACACATATATATATATATATATATATATACATATATGGCGCTAGTGGGCCATATATTATTTATTGATTAATTCTTTAAATGAAATCGCAATAATTTGATGTCGACTAGACAATGAATGTTTATTTATGTCTCAATTGATAAAGGTGTTGATATTACATTAAATCCAAAATCAATTTTGATCACGAGAAAGTGCTCCATAAAAACGCGATATAATATTTTCGATCGTTTTCAAAAAAGCGCGATAATATTTTTCGATCGTATTAAAACAATCAGCTCGCTAAGCTTGCTTGATATATAATTCCATTTGCGTCAATCAACTGACATGTGTCATATGTGAGCGTGTTGATTCCGCTATATCACTCCCCTTCAAAAGAAAAAGAAGTATCCGGTAGAAATAAATGAATTTGATTATTAAAATTTGAAGGAGACTTTTTTAGGCTTCATCTTTTTTTTGGAGGGTCAATCGATAACTCCAAGTTATGTGATTTAAATTCTTGAGATGAGCTTGGTTGACTGTTATCTGTTTTAACTGTATAAGCTGGTTTCAACCTATCAACCGATATGCTCTTTTCACTACGATCCATAGAAATTTTGTATACTTTGTCTGAGATTCTTTCAAGGATTTTATATGGTCCACTATATGGAGGCTCAAGTAGTCTCCTTATGTTATGTGATCTGACAAATACATGAGAGCATGTATCCATGTCCTTTAATACGAACATCTTGGCTTTATTATGATGAGCTGTGGATGTATCAGATGACAGTTCTTTAGATGTGAAACTCGCCTGGTAGTCTTAATGTGGTTCCATAAACCATCTCAGCAGGAGATGCTTTAAGGTCTTCTTTAAAGTAAACCTAGTAAGACTACAGGTAATACTTTGATCCAGGGCTCAGGAGAGCACATTAAAGCTGCTTTCAGAGTTCTATGCCAGCGTTCCACCAGACCATTTGACTGAGGGTGATATGCCGTTGTCCGTATTTTCTTAGCACCTATTGCATCCATTAATGATTTGAATATAGCTGATTCAAACTGGCATCCTTGGTCGGATGTTATCACACATGGTGTACCAAATCTTGATATCCAGTTTGAAAATAGGGCTTGGACAATCGTGCCTGCAGAAATGTCCTTTAGAGGAATAGCTTCTGGCCACCTTGTGAATCTGTCGATGATTGTTAGGCAATAAGGATATCCATTAATATTAGGTAATTTAATTATGTCGATGTGAGTATGCGAAAATCTGTTTTCAGGAATAGGAATATGGATAGGAGTGAGGTGATTATGTTTGTGTATTTTGGATTTTTGGCAAGGAATGCATTGACGTGCCCACATGGTGACGTCTTTACCAATCCCAGGCCACACATACCTTCTTCGCAACTCTCTTGAAGTAATCCTTATGCTTGGGTGTGCATTTCCATGTACAATGTCAAAGGCAGTTCTGCGAAGACTTTGCGGAAGGTAGGGCTTCACAAAATTATCTTGCCTGTTGCAATAAACTGGATAGCCCCCTAATGTCAATTTTTGAAGATTAAGAGAGGTGTTGCCGTTCAATATAGTTTGCATTTCAACGTCCTTGCTCTGTTCTTGCGAAATTACCTCTGCGGTTAGCTTTGATGGCATTTGAATGGCATTGATCCTGGACAACGCATCAGCAACAACGTTCTGATCACCCTTCACATATATAATATCAGTGGAAAACTGTGATATGTATTCTAGCTGCCGTCGCTGACGATCTGATGCTTTCTCCAGTTTTTGTTGAAATGCGTGTGTGATTGGCTTGTGGTCTGTCTTGATTACAAAGTGCCTTCCTTCTAGCAGATATTCAAAATACTTTAAAGCCGCAAAGATGGCTAGTAGCTCGCGATCGTAAGTTGAATATCGCTGTTCAGTAGATGTGAGCTTTCTGGAAAAGAAACCTATAGGGTGCCCCATACGCCATTTACTACCTGCTCCAGAGTTGCTCCAATGGCTGTTGTAGATGCATCTGTAATTAAATTAATATTTGCTATACTTAAAGGAAAATGAAGAAGAGTTGCATTAGCTAGAGCTTCCTTCAGCTTGCTGAATGCTGATAATGAATTGCCATTCCATTCAATTTGAGTCTTGTCGTTTTTAACTGAGGACTTCACATACTCATAAAGTGGTGCTTGTATATTTGCTGCCTTGGGTATTGATTTACGATAATAGTTTACCATGCCCAAAAATCTTCTGAGTTCTATAACTGTCGAAGGTTTTGGATAATTAATAATTTTCGTAATATAAAGAAACTCGTGTTCTTTATATTACGTATATTGTTTATTATGACAATAGTAACAACACTATGTGTGATTATATTTATCATTTACAAAACGTAGATATTATTTCAGAATTTATAATGAAAAAGGAAAAAAGTTAAGAATTTTAATTTTGGAAATGAGACTAGGGATAAACAAAAGCCAGGTCAGATCTGACACTTGAATTTATTTTTGTTTTCTCCGTGCTGTCACTATATGAGCCTATCTGTCCAGTAGAAATGCGATGCGTGTTGACGAGCCGCTACAGCAAATGCGGTGCGTGTTGACAACCCGCTACACACACATATATATATATATATATATATATATATATATATATATATATATTAGTGACCCGGCAAACGTTGTTTTGCTAAGTACGGTATATTCTAAACAATTTCTAGAGATCAAAAATATTAATACTTTAAGTGTATGAGGATGTGTTGTTTAAATAGTATATACAATGAGTTATTATAAAAACAATAAACCCCATTAGTTTGTCTACATTTTGTCAATACAATCAAACTGGAAGTTTTATACACATTCTATAGAAAACATGGTACGTAATCCAATCCAAATCTTTTTTGGTCTTTCGACTTATTGATTACGTTTCAAGTTTTTCAGATTCTTTTTGGATTCTGGATTTTGTGTATAATTGTAAATAATACTACTGAGCTCATAAAAAATATCAATTTCTGCGAGAAGAGAAAATGAATTAAGTATTTCTTCTTTGACCTGCTTTTTGAAAAGTTTCAAGTAACATTCGATGAATTAAAGGAAATTTAATAAAAAGTATATATGTAGAGCAGGGCGAGACACAAAGGTCCAATTTGACTTTGAGCATATATAAACTATATTATGTTGTTAAACAATGCTTAACTTTACTGATTTTTGACACATCGGTGGCGGACCTTTTTAACCCCGAACCTTCATATATTACTATCTATTCTTCGATAAATTCTGGGCAATTATAACTGGGAAAATGTTACTCGACAAAATGTCCCTTTAATCGATACCAAATTCTGAATTTAAATAACACAAATAAAAAACAATATAACCTACAAAATTTTTATAAATACCAAGGAGTATATAATTATATAAATGAGATCTTTCAGAGCACCGTGTTTGAGAAAAATATGCCAAAACGTGCATTTTCATATGAACATATCAAAAAAGGTTAAATTTTGAGTCTCTAGTAACACTTGCGGCCCGTTTACTAACGTTTTTGTATATGAATAAAACTACAAACAAAACTACTTACTACAGATTAATCATAATTAAATAATATGCACGTAAAACATCCTATTAAACGAAATTGAACATCATCTGTCAAAAACATTTGACATTTCACGTATCAGCCACCGTCTATTGTCTCATTTAAATGACGCTTCTACAAAAATTTTCAAATTAAAAATGTAAAGTTTCTACGCGATTTTGAAATAATACTCACCTTTCCGATTGGCACAAATTTTTCAAGACTAAGACTAGACAAATCGGTTAAGCCGTTTTCGAGTTTTACCGAATCATTTGATCGAGAGCTATATATATATATATATATATATATATATATATATATATATATATATATATATATATATAATACAAAACTCACACTTTTAACACACACTTTATTTGGTAATTACAGATGTTTCGAGACCATGGTATGCCTCATCTTCAGTGTAATTTCAAAAACAGTTACTTATATACTATACATTCTTTAATACTTGATTTAAATTACATTTTATTTTTGATATACAAAAAACACCGACTATCCCTTGCAATGCTTGACTCAGTACTAAAACATGTGACACTTACAGAAATATTCTAAACAAATCTTAAGTATCGAGATGGAGAACAGGATGGGTATTAATATAATGTAAACAAAAGGAGTGCGCGATCGCATACTAAAATCAACAATATGAAAACAGAATAATTTATTGAAGAAAATAAGATAAATGAAAAAAAATATAAATTAATAATGATTTTTATATAAGAGCCGTGTAAAATATTTGTAACGGTTCTCAGATTTACGCTATTGTTAGTCCGAACTATTAACATTGATTCTGCAATGCTCCGTTTAAATAAGTCTTTTTCATAGAATAAGATTTGGGGATTGTCAAAATCAAACTTACGGTCGTTAATATTAGCATGATCCACAAGCGTTCTTTTAAATTTTTTGTTATCTATTTTTTCGCATTGTAATTCATGCTGCCTGAGTCTTTTTTCTAAGTTCTGGCAAGTATGGCCAATATAAGAACAAGTACTCCAATCCAATCCAATTAATTTACTTTATAAACTATATCTTTCTATTTTGTTAAAGGAGTTTTGTCTTTAATGTTGGAATATAAAAATTTTAATTGTTTCAACGAAGAAAACGTAATATGAATATTATGTTTTTTAAATAGTCTTTTTGATAATTAATTAAATTTATTGTCAAGATATGTAAAATTAACGAAAAAAGAAATGTAAAGAAAAATATTTTTTCAGGTTAAAGTGTTTGGCCATGATCTTTCGGTTTCTTATCAAAAGGTTTAAGTAATTTAGCGACTCCGTTTTTTATAATTGGACATATTAACTTATATGAAAAATTATTGCCAAGTAAGATCGTTTTAACTAATTTTAAGTTTATGTCATGAAACAAAGGATCAGATGATAAAATCGCGTGATCT